AGCCCGATGAAGATGTGCGTGCGTTTGTTTGTGCAGGTGATGGCACACCCGCGGCCGCCGTCAACGAGCCCCGCTGCTCAGGGCATGTACACAGCGTCATTGTGCGTGGGTCGTGTTGTGTGTGATTTATGTGTCGTGTGTGTGTGTGTGTGTGTCTGCTGCCTCGAATATGCGCGATTGTCGTGTACTTCGTGTACTTTCCCATCCTCTTCCTCCTCTTCCTCCCTCCTCCTCATTCTCACACTCCTCATTCTCACGCCCTCGTGTCGTTTCCTCTCGTAGAACATGCAGGATTCGCCTGCCCACGGTGTGTTGGGGCAGTTGATGCAGGATCCACAGGTGCACGCCCGCGTGCAGTGTGTGTGTGTGTGTGTGTGTGTGTGTGTGTGTGTGTGTGTGTGTGTGTGTGTGTGTGTGTGTGTGCGTATGCGTGCGTGCGTGCGTGTGTGTGTGTGTTTCGCTGTGTGTGTGCGTTGTGTAAGCACCACCACCAGCTCCTTCATCCCTTCGTCTTCATTTCTTCATTCCTTCATCCCTCCGTATCCTCGTCCCCTCATCACCACCTTCATACATATCACATCCCCCCGCCCCACTCTGCGTCATCATCACAGGTGGTGGAGAAGGTTGCCGGGCTGCTTGGTGTCAACGCGGCAGCGATGAGCCAGCACATGGTCGAGACACAGTACTTTGTGCACGGCGAACGCTACACAAAGCCGAACACCGTCTACAAGAGCCATCAGGGGGTGGAGGCGCTGGCAAAGTGCGCGTACGATGCGCTGTTTGAGTGGCTGGTCACGCGCATGGACACGATGCTGCACTCGTCGGCCGCACTCGACGGCGACGAGCTCCATATCGGTATCCTCGACATCTTTGGCTTCGAAAACTTCAAGACCAACGGGTGCGCTGTTTGGTTGTTTGAGTTGTGTTTGTGTTGTGTATGTTTGTTGTGTGTGTTGTGTATGTTTATGTGTTGTGTATGCTTGTGTGTGTTGTGTATTGTGTTCGTGTGTGCATGGGTGTGTTTGTGTGCGTTTGCGTACTGTGTGATGTGTATTGTGTTCATGTGTGTGTGTGTGTTCGTGTGTGCATGTGCGTTTTCATCTATCATGCTTCTTGTCCTGCGGCTTTGCTGTGTTGATCACGCCATGCATTCGTCCTGTGCGTGTTGCATGTGTCCTTCGTCAGGTTTGAGCAGATGTGCATCAATGTTGCAAACGAGCGCCTGCAGTTCTTCTTCAATCTCGTGAGACCACACGCACGCACGCACATGATTGAGATGCAGTCATGCCATGCCCCCTCGCTTGCACGATCACAAACCCAAACTTGCGCACATTCGCAGACACACTCACACACTCCTACACGCTGTGCTCTCTCTCTCTCTCACATACACACAAACTCACACACACACACACACAAACTAACACACACACACACACACACACACGCACACACACAAACAAACAAACACAATCAAACACAAACGAACACACACACACACATACACACACACACGTCCTTTGCCCATCTTTGATGACAGAATGTGTTTCAGATGGAGTTGAACGACTACGAGAAGGAGGAAGTGGAGGTCGAGGGCATGACATTCACCAACAACTTTGACACTTTGGAGCTGTTCTACCACAAGTCCATGAACGTCTTCTCTCTTCTGGATGAAGAGTCACGCTTCCAGAACAGTGAGACAACGACGCTGCGCTTTCATGGATGTATTCGTTCATGGTTGCATGTGGTGGTGGTGTTCGTGTGGTGTGTCGTGCGCAGGTGCGCGTGTGCTCGGGTGTACGGTGTTACGGCGTTACCCCCTCGCCCGTCATGCATCTCGATTCTTCATGACGACATCTGATTGCAGGTGATGAAATTCACCACAACCCCCCTGCCTTCCTGACCACCACAACTCCCTCCCCTGCCACCACCGGCACCACCACCACCACCAGGCACGGACGTGACGCTGGTGCGGAAGCTGAGCGCTGCGTTGAAAGAGCAGCCCGCGTATTCCCCATGCAACGCTGCAGACCAGTTTCGCATCAAGCACTTTGCCGGTCACGTCACATACACCGCAGCCGAATTCCTCGACAAGAACAGAGACGCACTTCCTGTGGAGGTGTGTGCATGCGTGTGTGCGTGCGTGTGTGAGTGTGTGTGTGCGCGTGTATTTGTGTGTGAGCGCGTGTGGTTATGCACATGTATCTGTGCGTGCGTGTGTGTGCGTGGTGCCATGAAGGTTTCTTTCATTTCATCTCTCCTCTCCACGTTCCTCACCTCACCTCACCGCACGTCCATCCACGCAACGTACAGCTGACCCGGCTGCTCAAAGGCTCCAGCGACCCCTTTGTTGCGGAAGTGTTTGCTGCTGTTGTCCTGCGTGGTGCTGGGTCGTCACCATCGTCGTCGTCGTCATCATCGTCGCGTCGAATGGCCGGACGCTCTGCCGTTCGCAGATTCTCAACAGATGTCCTTGAGTTAGTTGCTGCTGCTGTCGTTGTTGCCGGTCGTCGTGGTGGTGGTGGTGGTGTATTGTAAGGGTGCGTGCAGGCTTGTGCCTGGCTGTTGCTGTGCAAACCAGTGAGCTGTGTCCATTCATTTCATCTCTGCTTACACCAGCACGTGCGCGCCTACCTGCCATCGTCATCCATCACCATTATCCAACACCACCACCACGATTACGATCACCAACAGCCGCATGCGTAATCGGTCTTCGCATCACCACCACCATCACGACCGTCGTTGGAAGCAGCGCGACGCCGTGAGTGCTCGCGCGTATGCATGTGTGTAGTGTGCATGTGCGTGTACGTGTGTGCAAGTGTGTGTGTGTGCATGTGCGTGTCCATGTGTGCATACTTGTGTGCATATGTGCGTGCATATGCGTTTCGTCCCACTCACTGCTCCTACATCCGTGTGCATGTGTGTGCATGTGTGTGTGTGCATGTGCACATGTCTCACAGGGCTGGACGGTGAGTGGGCAGTTCCGGGCGTCGTTGGATGAACTGATTGAGCGCATGTCCGTGTGTGCGCCAACATTCGTGCGCTGCATCAAACCAAACACAGCAAACAGACCCGTCGAGTTTGGTCAGTCCCACACGCTGTAGTGCTGTTATGTGTATTATTTGTGTGTGTATGGCTGTGTGTATGGCTGTGTACGTGTGACTGTTATGTGTGGCTGTTTTGTGTGTGTGTGTGTGTGTGTGTGTGTGTGTGTGTGTGTGTGTGACTGTTATGTGTGGCTGTTATGTGTGTGTGTATGACGTGCGTGCGAGCGTGATGTCTGCTTGCATGTCGCGTGCTCACTTCCCTCAATCTCCTCCCATAACACCTTCCTCCCTCCCTGGCTGCAGACGTGATGTTTGTGAAGAAGCAGCTCGAGTACACGGGCGTGTTTGAGACAACGCGCATTCGCAAGGACGGATTTGCCCATCGCCTCCTCTTCCGCGACTTTCTCGACAGGTCCGCACGTACTCGTGCATGGTCGTGTGTGTTTGTTTTATGTTTGTGCACTTGAGCTCGTGAGTGTGTACTTGCGTGTGTACTTGCGCGTGTACTTGCGTGTGTACTTGCTCGTCGCTTTATTCGTCCTGTCTCGATACCTGCTTCCCCCTCCTCCGTCACCACCTCTTCACCACCTCCACACCACCACCACCTTTCCCCGCCACCACCACCGCTACCTCTCCTCAGGTACTACACGCCAATCCTGGGTCGGTCGTCTGCGCGCGTGATTGCGACGGGGGTGCGCTGCGAGGAAGTGCTCACAACCGCACAGCGCATGCTAGGCGACACTCCAATTGCGGTCAGTTGCTGTGCACTCGGCTTCCATACGTTGCTGCTGCTGCTCTGGGTTCCGCTGTGCGATATGTGCGTGTGTGCGTGTGTGCACGTGCGTTGGATCATGCGTTGCGTGGACACGTTCCTGAGGATGTAAAGCAATATACGTTGTTACGCACTCATCACCAACACCCCCATCACCATCATCACCACCACAGGGTCGCAAGCCAGCGCTGGATGGGTGGCGGATCGGGCGCACAAAAGTTTTTCTCAAGTGGTGGCACGTGGACGCACTATCGTTTATGGTGTCGCGTGTGGAGACGGCTGCGCTCAACCTGCAGGCCATCGTCCGCGGATTTCTCGGGCGGAGGACAAAGGACAGGCTCCAGGTGTGTGTATTGTGTATCGTGTGTGTGTGTGTGTGTGTGTGTGTGTGTGTGTGTGTGTGTGTGTGTGTGCATATGTGCGCGCATGTGTTTGCGTGTTTGTGTGTGTGTGTGTGTGTGTGTGTTATTGTTGTTGTTGTTGTTGTTGTTGTTGTTGGCATGCACGCTGCGACTGCACACATTCATGTTTTTCATGCTGCCTCACACTCACGTGCACCTGACAACCACCCCCCCCCCCCACACACACAAACCAACCAACCAACCAATTTTCGCGAGTGCAGCGGCAACGGGAGCACTACCAAATGCTTGGCACGGGTCTGTTGCAGGAGATTTCCTCCAAGAGTGGGCGTCTCTTCAACACGCAGCAGTCGCTCATCGACGAGGACGAGTCGTGGCCAGGCGGCCTCGATCGCCCAACGGTCGGTGCACGTGGTGCCATGGGGTGTTTGATGCGTGCGCATGGGCGTGGGGGCGTGGGGGCGTGTGATGTTATGTGTGCGCGTGGGTGTATGTGGTGTGGGTTTTGCGTTCAATATGTCGTGTGTTCCATGTCTATGAACTCCAACGTCTTCATCATACCCCTGCTTACATCCAACACCACCATCGCCATCCATCATCACAACCATCACGTTACCATCATCGCTGCAGCCGCGCCCTGACGGGCGGCAGTTTATGCGCAATCACTTCAAGAATCTCTCAAAGGCGCGGAAGGAGGTTGAGAAGTGGTGGCTCAAGTACGAGCGCGTTGGAGGTGCGTCATATTCGCTGTTCCGCTGCGTGCCATTCCCAAAACAAAAAAAAAAATGTGCATAAGATCTCGCTTGACCACACACGCGTTGTCCTCACATGTCAAACAAACCCAATCGCGCGCGCGAACACACACACACACACACACACACACACACACACACACACACACACACACACACACACACACACACACACACACCGCTTGCATGTGTGTGCGTGTGTGCCCAGGGTTTCACTGCGACGAGGATGGGCGCATCTTCCCCTGGTTCCACGGACTGCTCGACCGCTCCCAGGCCGAGGAACTGCTCGACGGAACACAGCCGGGCACGTTCCTCGTGCGCGTGAACGAGCGGACGACGGGGTATGTGCTCTCGTTCACGACACAGCGCCGATTCCGCCACTACAAAATCCACAAGTCGGAGGAGGTAATGCAGAAGCGTATTTGTCTGTGTGCGCGTGTGTGTGTGTGTGCGTGTGTGTGTGTGCGTGCGTGTGTGTGTGTGTGTGGGTGTGTGAAACGAAGACCTCTTTGAGTGAGCGTTTTCAGCGCTTTCACTTTAAATGCACTGTCCTGTCTTGCACTCATCGTGACACCACTTGTTCAATGCTCACTCGCACCACTGCGCAACGTGCCGTGTTTGATGCGACCAGGGCGGATATCAGATCTTTGGCTTTGAGGAGGACTTTGGGTCGCTTGCAGAACTCGTTGACCACTACCAGCAGCACGGATTTGGCCGCACATCGGATGGACGCGCACACGAGGACACGCACGCCGACGCAGATGCCGCTGGTGGTGCGGCGAGCAACAACGACGACAACGCCAGCACCGAAAACAACAGCGACAACAACAATGACGATGCAAATGCAGCTGCGACTGACACAGACGCCCCAACCGCTGTCAATGATGCAGACGCGAACGCAAGCACGAGTGAAGAAGACACGTCATCAGCGTCAGCACCATCAGCACCAGAGGCAGATGTGGTTGCACCGCCACCGCCGCCGCCGCCACGCACCTCTGCCAATTCGTCAGCAGCACAACCCGACCCGCACACGCCGGAGGACGCAGTGGAGGCGGGGAGTGAAGGCGAACAGCAGCAGCGTGATGGTGATGGTGGTGGTGATGGTGGTGGTGGTGGTGGTGGTGTTGAGCGCAAACGTGGCGAGGAAGAGTTCATTGACACGGTGTTGGAGTGCACGCATGCGCTTCGACTCGGAGACATTGACGAAGTTGCCGTTGACGGTGTCGATCCCGCTGTGAAGCGACTGCCAAAGCAGAAGAAGGTAACGCCAGCTGGTGGTGATGATGGTGTGGTGGTGATGGGAGGGCAGGGGTCGGTCACAGAACACCTTTATCCTTGTCGATAACATATTGTACATGCATACACTGACGCACACATTCACGCATATGACTCCATGCCTGTGTGTGTGTGTGTGTGTGTGTGTGTGTGTGTGTGTGTGTGTGCACAGAAGCCCGCGCCTGCGCCCGTGGACGAGCGAGCGAAGGAGGAGGAAGAGTTTGAGCGATTGCGGGAGGAGCGAGCAGGACGGACGGTGTTCACGTTCACGGCGGCGGAGGATTCGCCGGAGAACGAAGAGGAGCGACTTGACGCAAGCGAATACCTCGACACGCGCCAGCCCATGCCCCAGTGGTGAGATGCATGGTGTGTGTGTGTGTGTGTGTGTGATTTGTCTGCATGTGATTTTGTGTGTGTGTGTGTGTGTTTGTTGGTTCTTGTGTCGTTTCTGTATCATCCGTTTGTGCTTTGTTTATGTTCGCGTCTGTGTGAACATAATGACCTTGACTGCTCCTGACGCATGTGTGTGCGTGTCGCTGTCCATCGCTCGCTCGTTGACCCTTCACCGCCAACACCACCGCCAACACCACTGCCTCAGGCTGTACGGCCCCATCTCGCGCGAGGTTGCGGAAGATCTGTTGTCGCGCCAGGGCATGTTCGACGGCATGTTCCTGCTGCGCGAGAAGACGGTGACGACAGACAAAGTTCAGATTGCTCTCTCGTATTCATTTGAGGGGAACTTTAGCCATCACATCTTGGAGAAGAACAAGGGTCAGCCCTGGCTCCTCGACAAAAGTGAGTGTGGCAGGTTGTGTGTTGGTGCTGTGTCGTGTCGCGTTGTGTTGTGTTGGTGTCGTGTTGTGTTGCGGTTTTGTCGTGTTATGTTGCGTTTTGTATGTCGTGCTGTGTTGTGTTGTGTTGTGTCGTGTTGTGTTGTGTAATGTTTGTTGCGCTGTTGTCGTATTGTGTTGTGTTGTGTTGTGTCGTATTGTGTTGTGTTGTGGTGGCGTGCCCTTGTCTGTGCTTCTTTGTTATGGTGATCATCTCCCGTTGTAACTGCCCACTCATCCCTGCTGTGCGTGTGCGCGCGTGTGTGAATGTGTATGTGTGTGATCAGAATCGCTCGGATATGACGGCAGTCTCAACCACGTCGTCGACACGTTCATGCGGCAGAAGGACCCGGGTCTCAACTGCAAACTTGTGAGTCACTTTGATGTGCGTTGCAATTGGTTCTGTAGTGTTGACATGCACGTTCACCCACAGGACGAGTTTGTCATGTCACCTCCAATGATCCTCAC